ACCTCTGCGCCATAATGTATCATCTTCAACAAATCATCGAGAAGCATCGACCGAGTCGACGCGTCCAGTGACTCCGAATGACCAGCGCAATGAGCAGACCATTGAAGCCATGAAGAATGCTTCGAATTGTTGGAACGTTAAAGCGCAGATTACTCCTTGCATTATTTTAGAGGTTGAACTAACGAATACATCACCAGCCGCGACTTCGTTCGTGTCGACGACCGAATCAACGAAACGCACAATGAGTTCAGCATCTGCTGAATCGTCACACAAACTGAATCGTCACAATCGTCACAGCACTCCAAATCCCAGTATGCGAGATCTATCTGCTTCAAATAATCGATCTTCGAAGGCATTCCCAACTTCGGAAAGTATCCCTCGCGAGCCACCGAAAACGTCGGCACACAAAGATAGTGTCAACTACTCAACTTCAGCCAGTATCCTCTCAAATGCATCATTACCATCAGATTCAAGTCGTTTCTCAGAAAGTTTATCCTCAAAAACTCCAACACGTACAGTGGCCACTTCTTCACCATCCGTTCCACACGTCAGATCAAAAGTTTCACTTTCAGTTTCGGAGCATGCATCCATGAGGTCGTCCTCAACTGCGCCATCGCAACAGAACAATATCACTACTTCCTCTAGGATGTCAGTCCAAAGGTCAAAAACTATTCCGAATGCTACATCAAGAAGCACACACAGGTCACATGAAAGTGCCAATAATAGTGAACATAATAGTGAACAAGTAACGATACTGACAAGTCGGTTGTCCGAGAGTAAGGCAGCTAGCCGAACTCATCACGAAATCTCGTATGAACCAACTGAATCTATCATGAAAGTTCCTGATTATGTGGCAAAAGCGAGCACAACTTCTCCGACGCATCACGCTTACTTGAATGATGAAACAGAATCTGGTCAAAATACCAGAGAATCATCTGAAGGGCTCATCAGAGCTACAACTGTAGCTCATTCATCTCCATNGATCATCACTTCATCCGTACAAACATCTAGTATAGTTGTAGGTTCGAGCGGTACAAATTTAGTCGAGAGCAGCACAATGAGTATTCCGACTTCAGCACCTAGCTGGGTGCATGATGTAACTGAAACACACTCACATATAGTACCTGTATGCCAAACGCCAACAGAGGCGATACCGTCGACTGAATCAAGCGTCGAATCTGAAACAGTTCAAGCGTCGTCATCATCATCAGATGGTTCATTTCAACCCTCTCAGCCTATTAAAACAAGGTACATTCACGAGAGCACGACTGATGCTGAACATCAATCATTAACTAAGCTACACCGATTACTGACAACGGCGAGGTCATTGACCGGTGTAATGTTCACAACGAACAACCCGCCGTCCAATCATTTATCAACATTCGCTTCAGCGTCCCACAAAATGCACACAATGGTGCCAGCGTCCGATAAATTACCAATGCCAAGTCCAGCCTCCCATGATGCGCTCACACGGGGTTCATTGTCCGATAAAACTTTAACAACACCTCACACGTCGTCGGCCAGTACGTTGTTGACACCTGCAGATATATCATCACTTACAACTTCATCATCACCAAAGTTAGCTGAAATCAATGAAAAATCATCAGTGACACTGAATTTACATGAAAAAACTTCATTAGTTTCTGAAACGTCGGGCGAAATGGACGATAAAACAAACTCAACTGGTAGCGTAACGAGTCAGTATGCTGAAAAGAAAACAACTGTGCATAAAAGACATCAGAGTTCATCCGAATCCCAGATACCCGTTGCATCCAATTATCCACAAGCAGTACAGAGCACTCAGCAAGCAAACGAACAACAACCTCATTCAAATACAGTAACACATGAAGTCGAACATAAAAAGCATACGTCGTCATCAGAAAACATTCACTACATTAGCACTTCCAAATCAGATGAAACGAATCTGATGCCCACTCCGGCTGAGAAGGCCGAATCTCATGTGGTGACAGCTTCAGTTCATGAGCAAACAATCGCAGATCAAGGTCAAATCTCAACAGAACAACAGAACAAACTGCAGAATCGAACCACTTTTCCTGTCACAGCAGTGACAAAGCCAGAATATCATGAAAATTCAACTATTTACACATGCCGTTCAAAACGTCTTCGTAACTCATCAGTGACACTAACGGTCCATGCAAAGAGCATTACGCATAGCGCCGCAGTAACACGCGAATCCAGCAGTCCTGAGAAGCAGCCACATGATACTGACTATAAAAAGACAGAAGCATCAGATTCATCGACTGAAATAGGTGAAAAACCCAATATTAGTACCATAAATTTCACTAAGAAATCACAAACAACACAAAGTCAACTACACGAGGAGACGATCAGGCGCGAAGTCAGCACTTCAGATCGAAAACTCGAAAATTCACTCCCAACCACTGCTCCTCTTCTAACCCTCGAAAATATTTCAACTGAACCGTACGATAGGACAATCAAACATGACCACACAAATTCAGAATCACCGATGTTTCTCACGGAACCTAAAACCACTTCTCCAACAAATGGAGTGATATTGCCGGAACATCATGCAGAATCAACAATTCACACATATAATTCAAAATCCCTTCCGAACTCATCAGTAATACCTGGCACCATAACAAATGTTGTGGAAAATACTCAAACTGATCTCCGTACATCAGCAGAAAATGCAAAAGAAACTGTTGGTCAGGGCGAACTTGTGTCTATAACGGCAACGACAAATATTTCATCTCATCATGTGCTGAAACCAACCGAGGATGTTGGAACTTCATCCTTAAAAGTTGAGCAGATCAGTGAAAGTATGCATTCGATTTCCGGCACACCAGAACAGCCAGTTTCTTCAGATCAACCGTCGACACAAGGAACTCAGACTGAAGTGACAGAATACAGTAATCCAACAGCAGCAGCAGCATCTTCAACGCAATTCATGGAATCTCCAAGCTTGAACCATGAATGGCTTGAGCCATCGATTGTTGATGAAACACATTATTCAGAACCGATGGCAGCAACTAATACACTCGAAGAGGCTAGTTCAATTTCGATGCAACACCATCATAGCAGTGTTTCATTGGACTATTGGAGCAAACAGTCCGATTCGTCTTATCCAGATCATTCTCGTGAGATCACACAGTCTGATCAAACGCTCTCACTGGGTGATACAAGGTTCAGTGCAAAGACGGACGAGAAGATAAGCTCACTCAAAATCCCACAAGAATCTCAAAATGCTTCAACAACTACTATGCAGCGAAGCGATAGATCGTTCGGTATTTCGCAAACATCATCGCACAGCGCAAGTCTTCTTCCTTTTGATCAGGAGACAAGCATAAGAACGACTAGTGTTCAAAAGAGCAGTTCCCTTCAAACATCTCAAGCATTTGGGTCATTCAGCACAGAGACTAAGTTAAGTGCATCAGAGATTTCAGCGAATGATGCTGTGCATACACAGTCAACGTATGTCGATATCTATAACATACCGAACGAAACAGAGAGGTCATATGGAACTGGCCAAACATTTGCTACGGAAACTCTTACACCAGCTATAAAGCAAACTGAAGAGCTGACCGAGGGTCGGACTGCAGCCACCATGGCCACGGAACAAAAAATTCATTCGAGAATACCTACAGAATCAAGCAATCGAGATAAAAATTTGACGGTCACTCACATGATGCCAACAAAGTTCACTAGTAAATCCCATCATGCATTTCTACCAGATTTTACTCCTAGAACGATGTCTAAAGAGCACAAATCCATCAAACCAACCCATATGAGTCAGTCACGTGTTCTCTCAACAGAAGCGCTAATGAGCACGAATAAATCCAGTAGAACCGCAGATAACTATACACAGCATTCGTCTCATATTCCTTATAATGTAACCCTTGCAGAAACTAGCGGACCTGCAAGAGTTGTCAAATACTCTAGCGAAATTCCAACGGTTACTGAGAGTGCTGAAAGCATCAATCGTAGCATTGCCAAAAAGGAACTGAAGGTGTCCAGTGTCGAAGCCACTGAATCTATAAATCAACAAAAGCAATCTAAAAAAGCACCTCAGGCTTACAGTGGCCTTACGATACGGAACGGCTTTGTGGAAACAACAGAAGGAGCATCATCCACAACCATTACACCAAATTCAACAGCAATTCAAAGGGTTCCATTGTCCAAGACAACTCCTATGAGAATGGAAACAAAATCAGTTAAGGTAGCGAAAATCAGCAAAACCTCCGATCACATGAAAGCTCCAAATCATTCGATTAATGTTCACAATTTGCATTCAACAGATAATGCCGATACTGCTCGCATGTCATCTACAGAACATGTCCCATTAAACAGTCGAGAAGAACAAACGCAAACCTCTTCGAGAAACTTGACCAGCGAAAAAGTAAACAATACAACAATACCCTTGCTAAAATCACATACTACGAAGCAAACGACCGGTGGCAACGATCGGATGAAAGTAAAATCAGTATCGCAAATGCAAATTCACGAAATGCCATCCATTTCCGAGATGCCATCCATTCACGAAACGTTTACACGTAAACCAGTCGAATCTACAGTTTATTTCGATGAATCCACACATCCGAACAGTAAAATCATGCATCTTGCTGAAAAACCCACTGGGTCATCTGATAAGGTCGCACAAGCATCTAACAAAATCCCGCATCGTGCTAATAAATCCGCATCTTCACCTGTAAGTATCGCACCTA